CATTACGTTTTATCATACCAAATAATAGAAAAATTATAACGAAGTGATTTAGACATACTGATCCCTCTATCATTTAAAAAAGAATTCAAATCGTTTATTCTAGTTTTAAAAAAGTTACTGCGTTTCAAAAACTGCCCGAATATTAATGGGAGTCACTGTATAGTTACTACACAAAACATATCATTGCTAGACTGCGGATTTTCGTCTAAAATAAAAGTTGTCTGCAGCAATCGCGGGGAACAGAAACCAAGTAGCAACTTCATGGTTCCTTTAACCCGAGAAAGATAACCTACGTCGCAGAGGCGCCTGCGAAGACTGTTGATTTTTGTTAATTTTTCATAGAGGTCTAGTGATTTAAGTTTAAAATTACTTAAAATATAAAAAAATATAATATAAATGCATTTTATTTTTACAATAATGCCAAACCTTTAAAATGACTAGATTAACTTAAATAAATATCCATTGTTAGTATAAAATTGACGCCTTAGAAAAGCATGCGCCTCTGAAGCGTATGGTTATCTTTTACGTACGTTGTCATATGGTTATCTTTCTAGGGTTAAAGCCGGTTAGCTGTCTTCGACGAGTATACTCGTCGTAACGCGAAATTTTGCCGCTTCTTCGTGATTGGTATATTCGTCGAAAACAAGTTTATTAAATTATATATATTTTAGAAAAATCGATTCAAACGAAATACGAAGAAAATCAAACATATATACGGTGTAATTACCGTATTTATTATATTATTAACCGTATTTATTACCGTATTATTATATTATAAATATTAACCGTATTATTACCGTATTTATTATATTATTAAATTATCAATTTAGCTACGATTTCTTTCACAATTCTGTTTATTAATTAATTACTAATTCGGTCTTAGTAATTTCTCTGATGGAGCGAGAGACAATGTAATTTTTAGAAACGAACACGTCTATTTGAAAAATTATAATGATACATAAGAAAAGGCAAAATGAGAAATAGAGTATGAAAGAAGTATTGCAATTATGACACACATATGAATTATTTTGATTAGACTCTGCAATGACAACATTGGGCTAATTTCTCTTTTGATTTGCTTCTGCTGTAAGGTTCCTGGCACGCGAGATTTTCTCTCCAATTTCTTCTTAATTTTTGCATATTTTTGTTCTTTATATTTTTCTTCACACTTTTGCTTGCTGTTGTTAGCATCGTTCTTTTGAACTTTAGTTACAGATTGTCATTAATAACACGCTTGTGAATGTTAAATAACAATCGATATATCTTGATGAATGTTCTAATTACAGATTTAATAGAAGAACAAAGGATATTATTCGCGAAAAGAGCATATTATAATAATATTCCATTCACTCGCTCGCTAAAAAGAGAATTGTACTCGTGCGTATCGTACAATGTTAAGCCGACGAGGTGATCGCATTTAAATCTGCTCCAATCAATTGCATTCGAACATTCTGATGCAATTAAGCGAATTCGATTAATCGAATTAGGCGATTGTAATTGACTGGCGACCACCAAATTCAATTACCCGATAGACGGCGGGACATTCTTTAATAAAATTAAACAATTTGGAAATTATTGAGTAATGAATTGAGTTAGTGTAATTCGGTCTACGCCGATGAAATTAACGAGAAACGGAATTAGTCAAGAGAAACGATGACTAATTGATCGAGACAACGTGTACGCTGAAATATTTCAAAGACGTAATACTTTAGCACGAATTTTTGTGTCGTATTCTATTCTGTCGGAATTATCACAATAGTGTACACACAGAGCAGTGAACATATATAACACATTTTTAATCGACTCGTGGTCATGAAAAAGTGAGCAAGAAATATTGCCTTCTTATATTTCATTGTTTCTCTGTGGCACCCCATTGCACCCAAGCATTGTTTTAAATATTCATAATACTTTCACCATGGAACATGAATGTTACGTCGCAGATACATGAACATTTCAAACAGAAACGATTGTTCATCTATTATTTTATTATTCGTTTTTAAACGATAGAATTACTTGTTGATCGTACGCCATTAAAAATTATGTACTTGGTGAAGGTACTTCGTAGACCGGAGAGAAGAAATAACCTACAAATATTTATGTAAATGTTTATGTACATGTCTTTGTATTATGTCTAACGTAATTACTGTTTATATTTATTTTCTCATATCACTTTTTATGTACATATATTTAATATCCATATTATGTCTAGCAAAAGCCAATTGTAATTCACTTTTTCTTATTTAATACGGAACGGTAACGTAACGTTAATGTTTACGAGCACTTTTTAGAAAAATATCTTCATCATGTTATATCATTGGTAATTATTTTCTACTGTATGTATGCAGAAATAATGCAGTTGAAAGAAATAGCTCCTAATACCAATATATATACTACCAATTGTTTCTGTGCACATTCGAAAGCCATGTTATTATTAATACCAATTATTAATCGCACGAATGCAATAATCAATGGACAAGATTTCATAAAAATAAAGAAATTACTCGGAAGAAAGACAAATGTGTAATTACTAGATAGCGGATCTTTATGCGGAGTAAAAATTGCCCAAGTTAATTACAGGAAACAAATTAGACGGAAATATCTTTCCTCTTTAAACGATTGTAATCACAGTTGAAAATAGTGTAACAATATCCTTAAATGCTACTAAACTCGCTACGGTTCTGCATTTGACCTGTTCATCGTTGTCACGGATGCTTAAACCCTCGGTCTAGTAATTACGCTCGATCCTGGTTTTACGCGGATGGATACGTTCCAGAAAAAACCGTGTAAAAATGCCATCGTGTACATACGTAGAAAAATAGCGTTACTCATTGATGAGAGCATCGTACGTACTGTCATGAATGTATTTAGATAATTACGGTTGCTGGAAATAATAGTCCTTAAAATTTGCATCAGACAACTTTTTCTGCCGTGCCGAATCGAATGAAACCGTGTGAAAAGGAAATTTAATTTATTTGTCTCTAGACCTCGTTAAATCAAAACCGTGTAAAAACAGAATTTCGTGTACTCGAACAATGTGTTCACGATTACAGGAATTATACAGGGTGTGACACGTAACCTTCGCCACGATTTTTCAGGTTACTTTCGACAGTCTAACAAAAAATGTGTCGAATAAAATTTAATGAGTATTTAGTCGGCCACATATTGAAATAGAATAAATTACGAAAACTATTCTCTTTCGATTAAAAGTCAAGGTAATTTTGACGTAGCAGGTCGTTGAATTCATTTTCTCATCAGCAATAACCCTGCGAAGTCAAAAATACGGGGTGCTATTTTAAAAAGAGAAGATGATCTTGACTTTTGGTCGAAAAACAATAGTTTTTGGACTTCGTTATTTTACAATATATCGCCGACCAAATACTGATCGACTTTCACTGGGAACATCTTTTTTTATCAGACTGTCGAAAGTGCTAGAAAAATCGTTGCAACAGTTACGTGCCACGCCCTGTATATACGTGAAACTGAGTTCGTCGATGGGTCGACACTTGTCCAGAAACGATTAGGAAAGTCGTAGATTAGACCGGCGAACCGGTTAAAATCTAAGGGAAAAAATGCTATAGAACATCGAACTGCAGATCCGATGAACGGCAATGCTATTTGTTCCAGATTGTTCGGGACGAAGTGCGACAAGTGCAGTGAGTGCTTTAGCAGAGACGACTACGTGATGAGGGCAAAGAGCAAGATTTATCACATAAAGTGCTTCCGATGTTCGGCGTGCATGAGACAGCTAGTACCTGGTGACGAATTTGCTTTGAGGCAGGACGGTCTTTTCTGCAGACACGATCACGACGTTCTCGAGGGTGGCAAGCTCTGCTCCGGGCCCGGCGGTGTTCCTGGCAGCGAGAATAATAATAACGCATCCCTTATGAATAATAATCACCATCAGCATCCCAACGACGGCTCGATATCAGGTAATGGAAATGCTCTTCTTTTGTCTCTACAAGCCGGCCTCGCGATTACTCCTGTTCATCTCCGAAAGTGCGCCGTTTTTCAACAAATCATAGTCCGCGGGTTAACAATGACACCGGCAAACTAACTCGGACATGTTAATTTATTTAAATTACGAAATACAATAGCCGCAGTAATGATGACTCATTTTTTAGATGTAATAACGTGCTTTGCGTAACATTTCTCCTTTTTGTTATTAATAGTCGATTCATCGCAAGTGCGAGATCAATATAGGTTCACTTAACATCTTTGTATTTTTATGTAAAATATTATAATACATCCAATTAGAAATTAATTAATTACGAAGAATACTTAATATTCAGTTGGTCCTCCAGTGTTTTTTATAACCTCGAATATCCTTTGCGGCATCGAGGCTATTTGATTTCTATCTACTTAATCTTTTTTTCAAAAAAATCGAGGTTACTTTAATTTTTTTTAAATAGCATTGCATATCTGTTACTTCACATTAATGTAGCTCGTGTCAAGACGAGTTCAACGACCTGCTATAAGCTTGACTTTCAGGTGACCATGAACCGAGAGATTTCAGTTCAATCAGCAGAGATAATTGAAGATGAAAATTTCCTTATTTTAAGATACATCGATCAGCAAATTGATAATTTTATTACGAAAAAGTGTCGTTACGTAAATTTAACGAAAACGTAGCTATTGGATCGGCTATAAACTAATCATTTTATTACAAAAATGTTATTATTACAAAAAAATTATGTTACAACTATAACATAATGTTGTAGTTCGAACTAAAATCCACGTATTACAACATAAGTTTTTGTAACATAATTTTTTTCTTGTTCAGAAAATGTTCTTTTCTTTTCAGAAAATGTTAAAAAAAGCGAGAGAAATAAATTACAAAGTTACAAATTAACTCTTCACTATACATCGTCGTACCAATCAATTTCGTCCGTAGACGATACACGTGTTATAACAATAACACTCTACCATAACTCTAACCCATTCACGTATTAATATATGGATTGATAGTGGCTCGCGCAGAATAGAAACAATATCCCACAGAGTACAACAGATACATAGAACACAATATTCCATAAAACACAATATTCCAGTCACGGTCGCGCCATTGATCGAGGATGAAAGAAGGGTGGCTAGCTACGGTTTCTCGGCTGGTATCGCGAAATGGATCGTGATCGAGTGACAGTATCATAACCTTTTATCGCGTCGCCAAATGAGCGTGACTTATTTGTGGATTAAATTGTCTGGACACAGTCTATCGGGCACAAAGGGCAAATTTGCGAAAGGGTACCCGCCGGAGGGGAAGCTCAAAGGACCACCCTTGACGCAACGGTATTGTGTTAGGATTCTCGGGGTCATAATTAGGTGTTGATAATTGAAGCCGTTAAGACCTGCGAGGCTTGACCACTTCCCTCCTACGCGGCGGGATTACACGGGATTAGTGTTCAGCGCGTGCCAACCATTCTAATATGTACACCCTCGCGTCGGCTCGATAGGCTGGATTAAACGTCCAATGAAGCTCGCGTTAATAACGAGTTAATTAGATAACGAGTTATCGCGGTGTCGGGTGATCATGCGCCGGGATATTGGTAAACAAACCGTAACAAGCCGATTATGTTGTTGCGAATCGCCGTGGAGCAATAAATTCCGTGGCTTTTTGTTTGTTGCTCGCGTAGCCGAAGAAATTGTTGCAAGGTGAGCGTCGACTGTTCTGACAAAACGTCGCGATTGTAGCCGATTTTAGCCGCCGGCTTCTTGAAACAGTAGCATGAATAATACGTAATAATATAAAACGTAGACAGAGCATGTGGAAATAGATGTAAAAATGCTGCTCATATTTTTGAACACTGTTCTCATTAAATTCACTCGCGCGAATGTCGTTATCTGACAATCAGCTGTAAAAACGTGTTAATTCGCGTATTGGTGTTTCTGTGCCATTATTGTGTACCTCAGTTTGCCATTGTCCCGATTTATGAAACACGGGGGCATTACTGGAATGGACACTGGAATCATAATAATAATGGGCGATTCGGGGTTCTCCTTTCGGTATTTGACACTTCGTCCGAGAATTCTCGGGATTCGCTGCGAAAGGGTTGACCTATCAGGATGATTAACCCTAGAAAGATAACCATATGACAACGTACGTAAAAGATAACCATACGCTTCAGAGGCGCATGCTTTTCTAAGGCGTCAATTTTATACTAACAATGGATATTTATTTAAGTTAATCTAGTCATTTTAAAGGTTTGGCATTATTGTAAAAATAAAATGCATTTATATTATATTTTTTTATATTTTAAGTAATTTTAAACTTAAATCACTAGACCTCTATGAAAAATTAACAAAAATCAACAGTCTTCGCAGGCGCCTCTGCGACGTAGGTTATCTTTCTCGGGTTAAAGGAACCATGAAGTTGCTACTTGGTTTCTGTTCCCCGCGATTGCTGCAGACAACTTTTATTTTAGACGAAAATCCGCAGTCTAGCAATGATATGTTTTGTGTAGTAACTATACAGTGACTCCCATTAATATTCGGGCAGTTTTTGAAACGCAGTAACTTTTTTAAAACTAGAATAAACGATTTGAATTCTTTTTTAAATGATAGAGGGATCAGTATGTCTAAATCACTTCGTTATAATTTTTCTATTATTTGGTATGATAAAACGTAATGGAAGACTCTCGTTTTTTAGCTTTTTTATCTGAGCCTATAACGAAAATCTAAGAAATGCAAAGTCGAGTTACAAGTGTCAAAAGATTGTAAAAATTGCAAATATCTCACACTTACTGGTCGAAAGTGTCAAAAATCTGGGCAAAGCTGCGATTTTTGAGATCTTTAATTGATTACAGCTCATTCCAAGGTCAACCGATTTCGGTAAAATTTTTAACATGCATATAACTTACCGAGATCTATAAAACACATTCTCAAATACTAACTGGAACAAAGTTCTCTTTTTATGTTTATTACATGACATGTCTCCCTGTATCTTTATTCCAACAAATAA